AACACATTTTTCCAATAACCAACCAACATGTTTAGAGCAGATTTTTTTATTCTTAGTTATGGCTGGTTTATACTGAAGTCTTTGAAAAAAAAGTAAGTGTATATATGTACGGTTAAAGTGTTTACTTGGTTAGTTAGTTAGTTTGTACACTAGCCAAGTAAACACCTTAACCGTACACATATATATTTGTTAATAGCTATAATTCATTAATGATTAAAATATTGTTATTGGGAAGAAGAAAACGCCAATATAGATATTGGGTTGGATCACTTAAATAGAAAACACAACACGACCGTTTCCACTACAGTTTCAAAACACGTCGAATCTTTTTGATGTGACCGCTTTCGAGCGGGACCCGAAAAACAAAACTCCAACTGTCGCAAAACACGCCAGTCTTCAAAAAGTTTGCGAAAAGTTACAGTTTTGTTTTATTCGACACAAGTTTGTTTTTTTTTTGTTTTGTCCGTTTAGTGGAAAACCGCCTTTAGATATTACTGTTTTTGCACAACAAATCTCGAACTATGACTGGAAATTAAAATAATTGTTTTTCCCTCTAGTCTGTTTGACACCCAATAACAACCACTGTCATAACCTGTAATCACAAAAAAACAAAAAAGAACATACTCCATCTAATCAGTGACAGATTTGAGTGAGGTTTTTTTCTCCATTGTTCGTTTGTTGTCCTTATTTCAAATTTCAGTATCAAACTAAACAACTATTCTTGCAGAGCAAAATCTACAACTGTTACACTACAACTGGCAAGTAGTCTACAACTACACATATATAATAAACCAGTTTGGAAACTATCAGAAATTTACTGAAGAGAGAAAGCTTATGCCACAAATGAATTAAAAAACTTGGTTTTGGAAATGTTGATAATTGTTATTTCTAATTTCATGTGAAACTTTTAAATGACATCACATATATTTAAGAGTCACTGCGCCGGTTACCCGACAAATACCGGGTTCCCGACTAATTTTATGTAACTCCAGCAGAAATAAGCATGAATAGATATTAATTCTTCCCAGTCTCTCTGTTTTCGACTATCGTTTTCACTGTATAATTTTCAGAAAATCTATTTTTTTGAAATTGATTTAAAACACTTTTAATCTTTTGAACAAGGAGAAAAAAGTTTCATGCCTGTACAATTTTTTTTTTTTTAAATTCTGAGCTCTTTTACTTATCAAACTTACCATTTGATTTCTAGCTTCTCTGATACTACTAACAGATGTCGTTAAGAGAGTTTGTGTTCAGTTAGAAACATTTTAAAATGAAAGTATAGTGTATATCTCAAAATTTTAAAGGCATTTTTCTTGAAACACCAGTTTTAAAATAGCACACAACATAACAGTAATTTTCTTTCTATTCATTCCAAATTGTGACCATATTTTTAAAATAACATTCCGAAGAAAAGTTCGTACAGGATTTTCGATAAGTTGATTTTAACATTATTTATTGACAAACAGCGGCAGCCTTGTTAGGCTTCGTACAGCATATCTTTGCGAGGCTCCGGGCGATAGATCTTTACGAGGCCCTTGTTCTTTGTGAAATGTATGTAAATCGAATGTAGATATTTTTGTTTTAAGAGAAATGAAAGTTATAAATTTTAAGTTTTCAAATATTAAGTAATTTTTAAAAGTTAACAAATACAAGGACGACAAATTTTTAATAATGATAAAATAAGGTACAAGATTCAAACATATTTTTCTATTATGTTTTAGTCAAATTACAAAAATATTATTATCCACTGATGAATTAATTGATTTTGATATCGATAATTAAATAAATCTAAATGAGAAATTTTATTTAGGCACCTATTACTACTTATTAATATAGGTATTTACTATGAATTAACCAACTTTATTTTATTGTCATACATCTCTATAAGTAATAGCTAAGGATAGTGATGTAAAATAGCATGCTATTTAGTTTTGGGTGATATATATCAAAATATATATCATTATATGTATCAGATGAATTTTGTTAAAAAAAAATGTACTAAAATTAGTTTTTTTATATTGCTAATGCCTTGCTGATTAATTTGACACCAAATACATGTCATATATATGAACTTTTAGAAAAGTTATCAAGTNAGTCTTCAAAAAGTTTGCGAAAAGTTACAGTTTTGTTTTATTCGACACAAGTTTGTGTTTTGTTTTTGTTTTGTCCGTTTAGTGGAAAACCGCCTTTAGATATTACTGTTTTTGCACAACAAATCTCGAACTATGACTGGAAATTAAAATAATTGTTTTTCCCTCTAGTCTGTTTGACACCCAATAACAACCACTGTCATAACCTGTAATCACAAAAAAACAAAAAAGAACATACTCCATCTAATCAGTGACAGATTTGAGTGAGGTTTTTTTCTCCATTGTTCGTTTGTTGTCCTTATTTCAAATTTCAGTATCAAACTAAACAACTATTCTTGCAGAGCAAAATCTACAACTGTTACACTACAACTGGCAAGTAGTCTACAACTACACATATATAATAAACCAGTTTGGAAACTATCAGAAATTTACTGAAGAGAGAAAGCTTATGCCACAAATGAATTAAAAAACTTGGTTTTGGAAATGTTGATAATTGTTATTTCTAATTTCATGTGAAACTTTTAAATGACATCACATATATTTAAGTCACTGCGCTGGTTACCCGACAAATACCGGGTTCCTGACTAATTTTATGTAACTCCAGCAGAAATAAGCATGAATAGATATTAATTCTTCCCAGTCTCTCTGTTTTCGACTATCGTTTTCACTGTATAATTTTCAGAAAATCTATTTTTTTGAAATTGATTTAAAACACTTTTAATCTTTTGAACAAGGAGAAAAAAGTTTCATGCCTGTACAATTTTTTTTTTTTTAAATTCTGAGCTCTTTTACTTATCAAACTTACCATTTGATTTCTAGCTTCTCTGATACTACTAACAGATGTCGTTAAGAGAGTTTGTGTTCAGTTAGAAACATTTTAAAATGAAAGTATAGTGTATATCTCAAAATTTTAAAGGCATTTTTCTTGAAACACCAGTTTTAAAATAGCACACAACATAACAGTAATTTTCTTTCTATTCATTCCAAATTGTGACCATATTTTTAAAATAACATTCCGAAGAAAAGTTCGTACAGGATTTTCGATAAGTTGATTTTAACATTATTTATTGACAAACAGCGGCAGCCTTGTTAGGCTTCGTACAGCATATCTTTGCGAGGCTCCGGGCGACAGATCTTTACGAGGCTCTTGTTCTTTGTGAAATGTATGTAAATCGAATGTAGATATTTCTGTTTTAAGAGAAATGCAAAAGTTATAAATTTGGAGTTTTCAAATATTAAGAAATTTTTAAAAGTTAACAAATACAAGGACGACAAATTTTTAATGATAAAATAAGGTATAAGATTCAAACATATTTTTCTATTATGTTTTACAGTCAAATTACAAAAATATTATTATCCACTGATAAATTAATTGATTTTGATATCGATAATTAAATAAATCTAAATGAAAAATTTTATTTAGGCACCTATTACTACTTATTAATATAGGTATTTACTATGAATTAATCAACTTTATTTTATTGTCATATACCTCTATAACTAATAGCTAAGGACTGTTGCGCGAGGCCCCGGGCGATTGCCCTGTCTCGCCACCCCCTAAGCCCTAAGGCCACCACTGTTGACAAATGATTGCATTTTTTTGTCAAAAATTGAATTTTTTACTTCAAATGCTCGCCAATCACACAAAAATTAATGTTTTCAAAATGCCCTAAGCATTTCTCTAACCATACTCATCTAGATTAAGAGAATTTTTCTGTCACATGCAAATTTGCGTTAATTGTACTGCATTGCCGCAGAGCGCCTCAAATTCAACATGCTTCAAGAGAATGGCTCCAGGGTCCCCATTTTGTACTTTTTATGAAAATATATATGTATATATTTTTTAAATATGAAAGACATGGTTAATATTATCCTTGAAAATTATTCTCTTACTTTTCCTTCCATTCAAAAAATAAATGGCAAAAATCGCTGTATTTCAGAATTTTACAGTGGTGTTACCCCTTAGAATCAAGTGTGGCAGTCACAAAGCAAGCAGGCAAAACTTATGAGTGCAAATTTGAGGTGAACCTTGTCTTAAAAAAAAAATAAATATTAAACCATTCTTAATCAGGTCCGTTTTTTTTTTATCGTTAAAGTCTATTATTATCAATATGTTGGGAAATGCACTTTTAAACTATATATTCATATTTTTTTTTTCTTAAAATTGAGTAGTAGGGTAATAGAAAAATATTTCCTACATGGTTTCAACCACCTTCAAATTTCTCTCTATTTAATTGTGACACCTTTTGTTTTACTTTAATGTAATATGAGATCCAGTAATTGACCAATTTATTTGTATTCTTCGATTTCTTTTTATAATTTTGGTCGATGATTAAAAAATGGACCCTTTCTAATTAGCAAGTTTTATGAGTTTTCGACTTAGTTCTTTCAATTGTAGAATTTCTTCCCAAAATCCTAATCAAATTGATGACAAAAGTTTCAAAGATATTCTCAAAAAAAAAATATTAATTTTTTGTCGGGTTTGTAATTCTATTTTCAACGTTTCATTTAGGCGCGAATGACTGTTTTCAATTAAAATTATCCAATATGTCGGTCAGAAATGCGAATATTTATGATTGAAGTCAAGTAGCAGTTAGTCAAAAACATGTAAAAAATTAGTTTTCAATTATTTTTTCTTTAGAAACCTCTTAGATCATAAAAAAATATTTTTAAATTCAACGATTTTAGAGTAACTTTATCTCAGACTTGTATCAAATTATCCCCAAAATAAACAATTTTCATTGTTAACACTTAGTCAAAAAAATCTACTAAATAGTTGAAAATCAGTGCAGTGACCATTATTTTTTCTGTACTTATAAATTTGAATGTCTGGTTTCGAATAAACAAATACAAAAAAATGTGTCACATGCTCCCATTCTCATTTTTTCTATTTTATGGGTTTTGTTTCAGTGGTCTAGATTCATTTGGTCGAGTGTGGGATCTTCGAACTGGAAGGTGCATAATGTTTATGGAAGGTCACCTAAAGGCTATACTAGGAATTGATTTTTCTTCAAACGGCTACCATATAGCTACCGCCAGTGAAGACAATTGCTGCAAAATTTGGGACTTGAGGAAAAGATCTATACTTTATACCATACCGGCCCATACCAACCTGATTTCCGATGTGAAATTCCAAAAAGAAAACGGAAGTTATTTAGTTACAGCTTCATATGATAACACTGTGAAGCTGTGGACTACACGAACATGGCAGCCACTGAAAACTTTGTCGGGACATGACGGAAAAATTATGTCCGTCGATATTTCAGGGGACAACCAGTACATAGCTACCAGCTCCTACGATAGGACATTCAAGTTTTGGGCTCCAGAACAAATATGAACATTATATTTTTTATCATAATTTATTTACATATAAATTCAGTTCGAGGATTTAATATTCCTCATTTGCCTAACGGCTGCGACGTACCTAGCGGAACATCCGCTGCTTTGGGCCTGGTACTGATCCGTAGGTATCTTGAGCAAGAGTGACAACTGTTGTAAGTTGTCGGTCAAAGATATGCCCAGTTCCTCCAGAATGTTGTTTAGGTAACCTAAAAATGTATGGTTAAATTTTGATAATAAAAACTAAAATTAAGATAAGAAATAAAAGAAAATATTAGTTCCAAACAAATACTGTTTGTAAATATCAACAGGTTGTAATAAAACTATTAATAAAAGTTTTAATTTTACCATCAAACGGAAAATGAGTTTTTACTTTTATTAACTGTCTATTTTACTCGTCGGGTATAGTTATACTAATGAAGAAAAATAATACAATGTGTAATACATCACAAAACAAACAAATTTAATTATATTTCTTTATCTAAGCATTTCCTCTTGAAGTCATGTTTGAGATAAAGGGTGCTAAAGTTAAAAAAGATGTCTCTAAATGCCTTCTAAATAAATGAAGATACTAAAACAAAATTTGAATTTAGGTATGGTTTTGCTGGAGTCGATTGCAAAAGCGCTCGACGGCTACTGTCAGACATGTGCCTTTACTCTAATATACAGGATATTGCACCTAAGAGGGATTCTTCTCTAACTTCGTAACTATAAAATTTATTAAAAAAATGGTTTTAATAAAAGTTGTCTGGAATCATGTGGGCCATGTAAAGAAAATATTTTCAGCTTTACAGGGACGTTCATTTCGCATGGACGCTACATAACTTTGTTATTATAAATATAATACCCTGTATATTATTACATTTTTGAATTCCTTGGTTAATATTAGCTTATTAAATATACAATTGCGACATTCAGTTGTTTTTGAAAAAAAATCACTATTTCAGCTTTCTAAATCAGGCTAGATAGCATCTAAACCGTAATAGGAGAGATTGGTATCAAAATCTCCCATTATCGGATTAATGGTCAATTTTGTTTTTAATGTGTTGGTCGTATGTTGTTTGTCAACGCCCCTTGTGGGGCAGGGGTTGGGGGTGCGGGGGTAAATACGAAAATTGCCCCGTGATCAGATTAATGTCAGCAACTCATAAAATATATTCTATACCTTCGGGGGAGTATGAAAGTTTCTGACAGCCTAGTTGAGGCAGAAGCATTTAAAAAACCTTTTAATGATCTTGAAGGGACGAATATCACCTGTGAAACAGTTTTTGAAGATCTCGAAATGTTTGTACGTCATTTGTACGGCGTAGGTATCACAAAAACTATCCACAAACGCAAAGTTAATGATGTTCGTTTTAGTTTATTTAATCGCCAATACAAAATACCTACTAAATATCAAAGAATTTTTTTTTCAAAAAAAATTTGAAAAATTTCGATGCATCAAATTTACTGCCTTCTCAGCCAGAATTGTATCAATAACTCACGGTGGTCTTGAAGGCGAAAAAAGTTTGTCCCCGATAACGCAAAAATCGGGTCAGAGGGTTCGTTTCCTGGACTCTTAACGATGAAAAATCTGTGAAGAGTGAAATCCCAGCTGATTGCCTACTCGAGTTTTCCATGTAATGCGCCCGTCGCAATACCCCCTGCTTAGTTGTAAAATAGATTGTAGTTGTAAATAGATTAGTTGTAGATATTAAGTGGTGGTGTGAAGTGCGCGAGCAAGGGAAAAACGATGGAGAGAAGGCGGGGAGATTGACGGAAAGGAAAAAAAAAGTCAAGAGATAGACGGAAGAGAGGTGAAAAATCAGGAGCCTGGAGGAATCAGCTGCTGTGTAGCTTCTCCAGGAGATTGCTGACAATCGAGATCCTCCGGGAAAGCTTAAGAGGTGGTCACTGCGGAGTTCACAGTATTCCCCTTGTCGCCAGCCCGCTGTGCCCTAGATACTGCCTGAAGAACACGATTTAAGGCCCTAAGGTCAGCCATCTGTTGCTGTGTCAATACCGAATTTCCCATTCCCGTTTGGAGACGCTGAGCGCCACCGCAGGGTTAGTAGAGTTAGTCGTTTATAAGACGTCCAGCTATTGATGTCATGTGTCATTGGTGTTAACTAATAAATATTATAGTCTGTTACGTATCAGTTTTTTCTGTACCCACACCTATTTATTGATAATTATTGTAAACCTGAACTAATAGGTTTAGGGGGAGTACATCCACCATCGAAATTTTTCAAAATGAAGGGAGCAGAAAGGCCCATAAGGTGTGTGTGTGTATGTGCGTATGTGTATAACCATGGATGGGGGACCCTAAGGTCGTTCAGAAAATGGACTTTTGTCTTAGTACAAAATCCCTTCATTTTTCAGTTATTTCGGCTTTTTTTTCGAAATTTCTGCCATAGGTTACTTTATCGGTCACTACAGCCACAAGAGAACATATTACCTGTCAGTTATTATTTAATTTTATTTAAAAATTACAGTAAATGTTCAAATTGTCTGCCGCTGTCTCTGATGCCGACTCTGCACCTTCTTATGAATGCCCTTCGGAGCTTATGTTTGTATCTTTGCTGACTAACGTAAAATTTATGTTTAAGAATTTTTTAAACAAGAACTATTGCTAGTTAAAAATTCTGAAAAGCATATGATAATAACACAATTCAATAATATTACGCAAAATAACTGAAAGATAATATGTTCTCATGTGACCAATAACGTAATCTATGGCGGAAATATCAAAAAAAAAAAAAACGAAATAATTGAAAAACAAAGGGACTTTGTACTAAGACAAAACTCAATTTTCTGAACGACCTTAGGGTCCCCCATCCACGGTTAAAAGGTTATCCATTATTTACCGAACACCCTGTATATTGGATGAGTTTTCCTGGATAGACCTATATTTCCTTTGGCCTGTGCTGATTACATATTTTTGTTACCATTACATTAAATAAACTGGTAAAATTGTAAAATAATATTAAAAATCACTGCTTGCAATTTTAGATACGGATGGATAAACGTAAAAATATTAAATATATTTCAAAATTTCATTGCTCTTTTCATGTACATTCAGAAAAAAAAAACTGTTGCCGACTTGTATTTCTGAATGCAGCCATTGCTTTTTATAGTGATACTCATTTATTTATTGCAAATGCCCTTTAAATATTTTTCAAATCAAAGTCTCAATTAAATAAATGCATAATACTATTTCTAGTACTTACTGATGTCATGTGCAAGTTGCCTACTAGCAGGTTGGCTCAGCTCACAAATTGATAATATTCTATCGCAGAAACCTTGACATGTACCTCTCGCAACAATCTTTAGAAACACACTAGCCAAACCCCCTTCTCCATCAGCCACACTACTATACTCTTGATCCACTGCTTTAAGGGCACAAGACAGAGATGGGTTTTCCCTAAATAAGAATGGTTCCAGATGTTGAGGTAAGGTCATAAGGTACTGACCGATCTAAAAGTGAAAAATCTTTGAAACTAAAAAAAGGTAAACACATGACAAAAATGAAGGTGCATTTCGATGGAGTATTCGTAAATTATAGCCTAATAAACAAATATTTAATATATTTCGACATTTCCAGTAAATTTTTCATCAAAATCTTATCATTACAAATTTGAACCGATAATTGGGACATGGTTGATGATAACTGGAATGTTTACTTTAGTTTCGGGGTACATATACTGGTTTATATTAAGGCAAGTTACAGAAAAATGCTCAAAATGGCATCCCTTTATTTCAAAACACTTTCTGATTTCAAACAGACAAAAACATATTGTTTCCAGTGATGTAATTTTGAAGAAAATGTAACCCATATACTCAATGCTGTTTGAGCTGATACTTCGTTTCACGTTAAACGTGAATTGTGCATACAAGATTTTTAAAAATATTTTTTAAACGTACTGTATCTTAAAAACGAAGGTTTCAAGGGCAAATACAAAAGAAAATATTCTTAAATTTGACCTTGGCTTGTAATTAAACACCCAGTATAATAATGCATATCTGTGAAGTAAATAATTTCCAAAGTACGTGTAATAGTTATGAATATGCGCACAGTAAAATATTAACAGCCGATTAGTATTTTTATTTTACTTGGTTACTATATAAATAATAGAATCCAAGTATAATACAGTGTAAACTCTTTATAATGTCGTTCGTTATAACGAAAAACTTCCTATAACATAGAAATTAGGTCAATTTGGTTGGTTTATGTCAAAACTCATACATTAATACACTATAGCGCAACAGCCATTCTCTATTACGAAGAATTATGTTCATATTAAGACGCCAGCAAATATTTACAGAAGTATTTAATAGTGTAATTGTTTTTATAATCAGCTTACAAAAGGTTCCGACTAAATCTTTGAGGTGCCGAAATTTCTAAGGAAGACACCCTGAGGTCGCAAACAACTGCCTTGCTTTTGTTATTGTTAATTGCCTTGAACATGTGTGCCATTACTCTTGGATTACATTGTTTCTAGGAAATTTTGATCTCAGTTACTAAATGCACTAGGCACCTATTGTGTATTATCAATCGTAAACCAACCTTGAATCTGTCAAGATGGCCAGTAAAAGAAAAGCGTTATGTGTTAACAAAAAAGTTTGTTTGATATGTGTGATAGGAAAGGGAGAAAAGAAAAGTCTACTGTTGCTACCATTTGGAAAAACAAAGAAGCAATTCTACAGGCGGAACTGCAGGGAGTGTCTACTAAAAAATTAAGGAAGCCAAATTTCAAAGACTTAGATCAAGCAATGTTGTCGTGGTTTAACAATCAGCGCCAGAATAATGTACCCATCTCGGGGCCAATTGTTAAAGCCAAGGCTGAGAAGTTTGCCGAACAACTAGGCATTACTGACTTTAAAGCATCAGAAGGTTGGCTTGAAAAATTTAAGCACCGTCATAACATTACCTATGGTAAAATGAACGGAGAGGCGTGAGATGTCGATATGAATGTGACTAACGACTGGATTAATAACGTGTGGCCTAAATTAATGGATAGTGAGCAAATGACATTTTCAATGCTGATGAAACGGGGCATTTTTTCAAGATTACGTCTGACAAAACTTTTAAATTCATAGGAGAAAAATGTGTGGGAGGAAAACTCTAAAGAGTGTATTACCATTCTAGTAGCTGCCAATATGAGTGGTACGAAAAGGAGAAGGGTCTTAGTTATAGGCAAATCAAAAAACCCTCGGTGTTTCAAGAACATAAAACAATTGCCAGTCACATATAAAGCAAACAAGTCAGCTTGGATGACATCGTAGTTCTTTGAAGAAGTTAGAAAATGGGATGCTGAATTAAAGGGACGGAAAATCTTACTTCTAGTAGACAATTGCCCTTCTCACCCTTTTATAACCAATCTTGGAAACATAGAGTTAGCATTTTTTCCAGCAAATCCAACCAGTACCTTGCAGCCGATGGATCGGAGTGCGATTAAAAGTCTAAAGGGTCACTATAGAAGGAAATTGTTGATGGAACTGATCGAAACTAACGGCAAGACCTCGATTAATATACTACAAGCCATAAATTTCATATCGAAAGCCTGGAAAGAGGTAACAGCAGCAACCATATAGCATTATTTTCGTCACACAGGACTATGTAACAGTCAGACAGTAGAAACAGAGCAGTTTGGTAGTGAGGATAATCTACCACTGAGTGATTGGATTAAACAATTCAGCATACAATTTCTGCGAAGATTTACAAACATACGAAAATATAGATCAGGACCTGGCCACAACCGCTTCACTCACTGATGAAGACGTTATTGATTCAGTGTCAAAAAGTAAAGAGGAATCAAATGAAGATAATGAAGATGATAAAGTGGACAATTCTGAACCATCACCAACTGTTCAACAAGGACTTGATGCCACCGAACTCATCAAAAAATTCTTATCGTTTCATGAATATGATTCCACCACATCCCAAGACATGCATAAAATACTTAAAAAAATACAAAACAAATATTGGCATAGCAAAAAAAAGTCAGGCAAAGTTAACAGAGTATATGTGTTTGGAATAATTTAATTACCTATTGAAAGTACATAATAAAATTAGAAATTATTGTAATTGGTGAAATTTGGTTATTTTTCCTTCTTCCCTCCATATAACAAAAACTCTGTATAACGAAAAAAAATCCCCGGTCCCTTAAGATTCGTTAAAGAGTCTACACTGTACATAAATGCACAATATGGTGTTAATTATTTGTGAACATTGCTGGGAACACGGCTTTTTTTTATCAGTAATAATTTTTCAAAAATTAGTAACATGTATTCCCCACTTGTCCCCAAGCCCTTCTTAGTTACTATGCAAATTAAATCCTTCAATGAATTTTTTAGCAAGGCTCTGTGGGGGCCCCTGGTCTTATGTTTATTTCGGTTCTTGTTGCTAAAGCTGCTACGGACAACATTTCTTCGACAATGGTGATCCTTTGAGACATTTCATTGTTGCCTTTGTAGTTGGTAGCAGGTCGCATACAATGCTTTCAAACATTTTGTCATTTTTACTGCTGGCATACCCAGTGGTGACTGTCTGCAAATGCTTTACTCAGATGTGGCTTTAGAACCAACAAGAACCGAAATGAACATCAGGGCGAGCCTAGTGATTCGGACAGCAGATCTGCCCCCACAGAACAGCCTGAGAACAACGGAGGTCAAAGATTCCATATTAATTGACATCATTTTGCATTACTGTTTTATACCTAGCAACTCATATACCGGGATATGCAACTTTGTAAATAATATAAATACGCAAATAAACTGTTACATATACAAATCATAGAAGTTAACCCACCTGTGTAATGTACTCTTGAGGGGAGAAACTATAATCTGGCAAATCAGAATTGTGTAAACTGGAATTAGCAAATTGGGCCCATGTTTGAGAAGACTGAACAACATCCAAATGTAGCGAAATAGGTGTAAAAACAACTTGGTAAGTGGTATGGTGAATATCGGAACAAAGCTTATTAAATTCAGTAGTTACGTGGTCAAGTAGAGATAGCTGGGTACCTTCTGTCACGCATTTTATTAGAGAATCTAACTCTTTTAAATCTGTTGGATTTAATAGTAAATATTTATAATCCACAAATGCCTCCTTTGATGTCAGATCCAGAACGGAATTAGTTAAATCCTTTTCTAATTGCTGGAGTTTTAACAAAACATCCCCTGTGTTCTGTAAAAGTGACAGACATAATTGAAAAGTATTCCAGTCTTCCTCAGACTTTTTACTTCTATCAATTTGCCTCAACGCTACTCTATAAAAATCTGCGTAACCTAGTAGAAAAGCTCTTAGTGCAATAAGTAAGCCACAGTAACCGCAGTTCTCTGTGATTTGTTGACACCTCTTTTTTGCTGCATTGGCGATGTCAATCACCGACGTAATACTTAAACCTAATGCCTGAATGGTATCTGGCAACTCCTCCTTCATACAATTTAATGTGGACAGCTGTTTCATTAGGTTCGCCTGTTCATATGCCGCATATTTGTTTACGTAACTGATCAAATGGTTGTATATTGCTTTTAACAATTTGTTTGTCATGTCCGTATCTGGTTTTCCTAAAATAAACACTCTATCAAATAATAATATGTAAATGGAAAATATTCATAGGTATTAGTCTTCTACCTACACAATTCTACAGGAATTGCCTAATTAAAAACAACGAAAAGTTCATAACGGATTTGCAGAAGTTTTGTTTTTGAGATACACAGTGATAATTTTTTTTGTTTTATTAAAATATCACCTTATAGGAGGAATTTTGCAACAAGGGGTATACTGCTCAAGTTGTATATTACAAAACTTGAATAGTTAGTTATATAGACATAAAAAAATATATTTATCCAATACTTCTATATAATGATACTATAATTTCTTTGGTTTTAAAGGAATAATGTGGCCTATAAATCACTAGCGAGTTTAAAGTCATAAGTCACTACTGAGTTATGATTTATAACCCACTAGTGAGTTACAGAAATCATATGACCCTCGCATCTTTTGTAATATATAAAGATACAATAATTTCGTTAAATTACTTTTTCTGACATTGACAACTTGAAATTTTAAGTTACTTTTATTTATTATTAAAACGAAATTCTATGAGTGTCGGATAAAATTTTGTATGGCACTCATGTGTTACATCATATAAGTCACTTGGGAACATTTGACGTGTATCTCGAAAACGAAAGACCGGAGAGAAAAATGGAAGAGGAAAGAAATGTTTATTTTCTCAAAAGGAATTTACAGTTTTCCGTTGTGACACTTAATTAGGAACACCCTGTATAAGGCGTTAATAAAGTACGTCGACAAATTTTAAGGGACCATCCTCCCACCGATTTTAAACTAAAACGGTTAGATATATGAACATGGATCCACAAATCGATAATTTTCAAAATACAAGGTGTTGAAATTAAAAAAGGTCATTATTTCTAAGATACATCTGAAATAAATTATGAAATTGAGGCTAATGATTAATTTAATTAAAAGTAAAAATCCATTGTACTCAAGGTACAAATGTTTGTAACAGTGACGGAGATAATGGGAGTAGCTCTCATTGAAAACGTCAGAAATTCAACTGCACTGGTTATTTTGAAACCATTTTCGATTTATTATTTTTTTAACTTTTTCTGCTAGAAATATAATCTAATCATGATAAGTCAGAAAAAAACAATTGTACCCATTATTTTGTAGATCTTTTCATTATTACATCCCATTTAAAATCGTAAGAAAAATATCATATGAACTTTTTGTGCAAAACAAGACTTCTAATGTTATGTTAGGTTTATTGAAATGCTTGCTAAAATTATTAAATTTAAGATAACAAGAACGGACACACTGACTGTCATTTACAGTTAGAGATAAATACAGAGCCTTCATAAATGTTTACAAGCCACGTAACTACTAATTTTATTTGGAACAGTAATTTTATTTCCTTCATACTAGCCATTAAATTTTGGTAAAATTAAAAATTATTAAAATAGTAAGATCAAGGTTATATTAAAACACAACGTTCTGTTTCATCAGATGTGATTGGAGAAATTTTTCACGAGATACTATTCAACCAATCAGCGATCACATTATCTTGAGCATAGACGTACCAGTTTGTCATTGGTTATTATAAACGGGTCATTAATATTGGTGACACCAAGATCTAGGGAATTTTCGTTACCAATTGTGCAATGTTGGGTTGCCTAAGCTAGGCGGTCACGTGGCTTGTAAACATTTATGAAAACTTTGTAGTACAACTGGTTGATGTCTCCAGACAATATCACATCAGATGGTAGATCTTGGTTAACTAGGTGGTAATAACCAAGAAGACAATAGAATTAGTAGAATACTGTTCGGTAACATTTGCGATTATCAACAAATTTTAAAATTATAAATCATATTTATTACTAGTGTTGTAAAATAATCAAGAATTTATTTTTGGAGAGTTTTCACCAACCGCAAACGAAAATAAGGCTGTGTTCAGCGAATGGTCGGACCAGTTCGGTCAAACTTCTTTAGTCAAACAATTCGCTGAATGGCCTTTAGTAACTGTATTAAAACCTGCCCGATATTCCCAATCAGCTGATTGGGCTGACCAACGAAATATTTGTCTGATGAACGACTTCGACCGGACCACAGCCTAAGAAAGGATAAACCGGAAGAAATTTATATTCTACATATAATTGTTATTATAAAATTAAAATGCGAATTTTAATTAAAATTTTCATTATTCTCAAAATACTCCAAAGAGAACTTTTGTGCACAATGGTTTTTTTTTGTGCAAACATTCACGAATATTCTCAAGTACACATTGACATCACTTTCACCTTACGACACTTACCTTGTGAAGTATGGTTTACAACATTCATCAGATTGTCTGCAAACTGTTTAGTGGTCTGTTTCACGTCATACAAAAACGACAACTTTTCCGAGACTTGTTTCAGAGCAGCATCAATACATTCATTTAAGCTTGGGTCTAAGGATGATAAAACGTCAATGTATATGTCAATCAAGGCATTTACTGCGGACTCGTTTGAGAAAACTTGATTAAACCAACGATGCTGAGTGTGCCAGTTCGATAAAAGTACACTGTAATAGTTATGTATCCATTGAACAACCGACTCATCTTGTTCAATTTCCAATTGATTTCTCCATTTTTGCAACAAAATGTCTTTTTGGCATTTATGATAATACTTCATTAACTGTGGTAAACGACTGATGGAGGTAAATATTCTCACATACATCTGTGCCTGTTCTAAAATTAAACAAAAAATTATAATCAAGAGATTATTGCTTAAAAAAATGACAGATAATACCTATATTATTTGAATTGAAGGCTTGAACGATAGCAGGGCTTGCTATAGCTTCTAATCTATTTTTTAAACCTTCTAGCTGAAGTTTTCTATCCTCATAATCGGCTACACTAACCAGGAGTTTTAACGAATTTTGCATACCTAATATTTTGCTGGAAATATTTTCTACATTTTTCGAATCAAAGACTTCCTCTAAATCGTTTACTGAAATACGTCACTGGTTACACATTCTAATTAATACTTTATATACAGTGTACCTAATACAGTCCAGTTATCACTTTCATGGAGACCCTGTTTGGCAATATTCAACATGTTTTTCAAAAAATCTAACTTTTCTATTGTATTGATGGATTCTCCAGTATCATGTTCAATTTTTTCTATTTCTTCTCTCACTGCAGCCATTTTTTCCTTCAAAACTAATGCTTCTTGTTGTAAATTTTTCGTATCTCGCATAATCTTTGGCAGAGACGCTAATACCTGTTGACTCGTTTCTTCCAATGCATTATTTACTTGCTGCACATAAAGTTGTAACTTCATAACCAAAGACATTGTATAATTCTGGAAATTAAGAATATCAGAACAAAGTGAATTTAAATTAATATGATATTTATACATACTTCTTTTCGGTTTTCCGTATTTTTCAGAATGTCATTTATCCAGGCTTTCGTATCAAAATCATCACTAGAAAAGGAGCTGATATCCTACAAATTGAAAAATTTATACTACCGAATTCGATAAATAAATTTAAAACTCACCATGTTTATTGTACTTTTATTTTCTAAAAAAACAGGAATTCCATTATACTTTGATAAATTAAAATAAACTACGTCATATTTACAGTGTCAAAAATCAAAAAACCTAACCTAAATTGCTTTAAATGGTACACAAATTGCGGGAAAATTAAATTAAAACACTAAGAAAATTTTTGTTCGTCATCTGGTGGTTCAAGTTCTTTTAAAATCTGTCGTATCATAGATACTACTTTTTGGTAAAGAAATGAGTATCTGTAAAAAGTAATGCATAGATAAAACGTTTTTTGTCATCAATACCATTACCTTATTGCTGGTTTGCAAATACCAAGATGATCCTGAGGCACTTCAAAATATTCACCAACTCCTGGATGACCCGACTCTGGTTCTACTAATAAAAAGTTGAACTTCATGGCCGTTACAACCGTAGCCTTAGTTTCCACAAATGTAACGATCTTTACAGGAAGCGACTTAACGATGTCAAGAAAATTTTCATGGATCATTTTCAACTGAGGAGAATCTAAAACAATGGTTAAAACAGAAATGAATAAAAATAATTTACCTTAAAAAAAATAAAAATTTAAAGAAAATATATTTTTATTATTTCTTATTAACATACTCTTTTGATGCTTACTTTGGCGTAGTTCCTGAACCTCAACTGAAGGCCACAACAATAAAGCAGTGGCTTGGCTTAAATTTGCTATTCTTGAGCCAAAGTGAGGTGTACTATAAAACACGATACCTTTTGTATTTAGACACACATTTTTTACATTTGGATCTTCATTCTGGAAAGCTGAAAAATACACAGGGTGACAACATGGGAAAAGGCCATACTTCAAAGCTGGCCTACTTGAATGAAAATAAACCAATAAGATTAAGTTCTTTGGAATCATTTTATTTCTTTAAAAAAATAGGAATTTCAAAATGATATAATTAGATTGTAGTAGTCGAGGATGGTGTTTTTTACCATATATATATTTTTTTGTTTTAGTAGAAATCGTCATAAAATTTTATACCGTAGTTGCACAAAACAACATTTAGAGGCCTATATCTCAGTAGTTGACTTTCGAATAGAGAAGCGTTGATTTAAATTGTAAAAAACGTTTAAAATAACTATAAATTATACCTTTTTTATAGCAAATAAAACGAGATTCTATAAAATATCTCTCGTTTTTCAGAAAATATCTACCGATAAAAGAAATATAAAAAACAAAAAAATTTTTATTTCTGGCCACCTCTAGGTAAAAAATAAGGCAATGTTTATGTTTGGCTACCCCAAAATCCTTCCTGCACCAAATTTAGAAAGACCTTAAAAATTTATTAAATTAACTAATATAAATCAGTTTATTTTTACCAAAACCTACAACTATACAGGGTGATTCACAACTTATCCAAAAAAATTTGGGAATAGATGTAGCATGAGAAATGGTGACAATATCGTAAAAAAAATTTTGTAAAATCCTTATAGTTTCCGAGAAAAAAATTATTGAAATTGTAGTATATTCAACCATTACATAGCTAGACAACTGTAGTCTCTAGCGTTATTCGCAATGCGCATGGAGAGCCACTTCAAATACTAAAATCCAATTTAACAATCGTCGTTGAGATAGTGTTTACCTGTTATCTGTGGTGTTTACAATAGTTTTTTAGTAGTTAGTGTCAAAAATGGCTTGCGTGTATAGCAACTCGGAGTTGATGGACATCATTTTAATTATGGTGAAGCATTTGTGTTATGGTGAAGCAAGACAACATTTGTGTTAGTTAGTAGAAACTGAGGAAGACGGAGCCAAATGTGTTTACACGTCGGTGGATAAAATTTTGAACAGTTGTTGTAACATCTGGTATGTCAAATTAGTTTATTATTTAAAACCACAAATTAATTTTATTAATTAATAATAACAATAACGGCAAAAGCAGTTGAATTTGCTGATATAAAACATCAGGTGCTATAAAATTTTATTTATTCCTTTCCTTGTGAAAGTTTTTGTCTGTTCATATCACACTTTGCCGCCATGCCGGTCGCATTGTGCGGGGTCAGGTTTTACAGTGGACCAGTTTCCAGTGCCGTGCAGAAGTGTATTTTTAAATCATTTTCGAACTGCCCTTTTTGATTTTTTCTTTACAAAATTGTATTTGTAATCCCCTGTACATCCAAAAAATTTTTTTGGATAAGTTCTGAATCACCCTGTAGAAGGCATAATGTAAAATGAACTTACTGAATTTCCAAAATACTTAGCAACATGGAAATTTTGATGTTCTTAATGACATCGTCTCCTAGTGCCTCCGCCACAAATACCTCTAATATTTTCTAATATTTCAGAGAATGAGTAAGTTAATTTTTTTTTGGGAACATTTAATATCTATCTTGACAACGACTGAGACTTCGAAATAAGTTTATAAGACAATATCATTATTTTTATTATTAATATCCGCTCCCTAAGTCTGATAGATTAAAAATGAAACACCCTGTATATTATGGTGTCTGAATTTATTGCACCCTATTTGGTTTTTAAACTATGTTTAAATGATATTTTATTTGGTTTCTTGCATTGTATTTAGTAATTTGTATTTTGAAAGAATCTATTGTGCTTGACGTTTTTTGTGTATACAGGGTCATTCACATAATAATCTATCTTATTTTTTACCTCTAGGAAAAAAAGGTATAAGTTTTTGGAAATTTCCATGCAATATCACCATCACAAAAAAAAATTCACCGTTGCATTTTGAAGGCACAAACCAAACTTTAGTTTTTCTAAATGGAACACCCTGTATATTTGTTATTTTATTCATTAACAAAAAAACTGTGAAGGAAACGGTTTTAGAATAAAACAATGAATGAGGTAACGTGTGGGCGTGTACAGCCGTGATCAATAATGTGCCTTTGAATGATTCCCAAAAACCGACACTAAGCCGATTATGAGCCAGCCTTCATCAGTGTCATCTAATTGTGGCCAGGCAAGGCTAGTATGGACTATCATGAAGAAAAGTCATTACATGGTCAATAAACACTACCACTACTACTACTACTACTACTACTACTACTACTACTACTACTACTACTACTACTACTACTACTACTACTACTACTACTACTACTACTACTACTACTACTACTACTACTACTACTACTACTACTACTACTACTACTACTACNCATCATCATCGTTGCCTTAGATTAGATGCCGTTGTTATTGCTGTTATTGATCTTGCTGGTGCTCATGCTTCTGTTGTTGTTGTCGTCGTTGTTGTTGCCGTGGTTGTAGTACTAGTTCTAGTTAACGCTGCAGTTGCAGTCGTTGTTATTGATTCTATTGGTAACAACAGCAACAGCTACAACAACAATAACAGTAATAACAACAGCAGCAGCAACAGTGACTAAAGCACACTCCTTTAATCTATAATCAGAATATTCCTAGAAGTAGTCAGAGATTGCTTACTGTAGTAGTCAAAACATTCCTTCGTAACTCGATAGAACGCTTCGTATCGTTATCGTCCGTTATCAACATCGTTGCCTTAGATTAGATGCCGTTGCTATTGCTGTTATTGATCTTGCTGGTGCCTATACTTCTGTTGTTGTTGTTGCCGTAGTAGTTGCCGTAGTAGTTGTAGTACTAGTTCTAGTTAACGCTGCAGTTGCAGTAGTTGNTCGTATCCTCCTTACGCATACTGTCGACTAAGGAAACCAGTTCAAGTAACAAGATTTAAGAGCGTTATCAACATCGTTGCCTTAGAATAGATGCCGTTGTTATTGCTTTTATTGATCTTGCTGGTGTTTATTTATTTATTTAACAAAGTATACTCAACAGGCATAGCCCAATTACAGAGTATATGAAATACGAAATACAGAGTATGTAACAATATTAAAGTTAACAAGTATAAGATATAAACTTAAAACAAATCATTTAACATTAGCTTTAAGGACTTACTACTAGCGTTGAATACATCACAATGATTTTGTATATTGTTGTAAATTGTACATAATCCAAACAGTGAAGAATTTAAGTGGTAATTTGTGGTAGCTGTTGGTAAGTGAAAAGTCCTATAAATTCTAGTAGGGTGCGAAGGTACATTCAATTGTAATAAAGAAAGAAACTTACAATTATCCACCATACCATGTATCATTTTATGCAAATATATGACATGATTACATTTTCTACGACTTTCAAGCAATTTAAGATCACACTTTTCCCTTAACATTGACTTTTCTTGAATATAATCGTAAATTCCATTCTCTTTATAATATAATTACTTACAACACTTTATGCTTCTGTTGTTGTTGTCGTCGACGTTGTTACAGTAGTAACTAGTAGTTGTAGCACTAGTTCTAGTCAACGCTGCAATTGCCGTCGTTATTGATTCTATTGATAACAACAGCAACAGCTACAACAACAACAACGACTATAACAACAACAGAAGCATAAGCACCAGCAAGATAAATAACAGCAATAACAACGGCATCTAATCTAAGGCAACGATGTTGATAACGCTCTTAAATATTGTTACTTGAACTGGTTTCCTTAGTCGACAGTATGCGTAAGGAGAATACGAAACGTTCTATAGAGTTAGGAAGGAATGCTTTGACTACTACAGTAAGGAATCTCTGACTACTTAGGAATACTCTGATTATAGATTAAAGGAGTGTGCTTTAGTTGTCACTGTTGCCGCTCCGTTGGTGTTGTTACTGTTGTTGTTGTTGAAGCTGTTGCTGTTGTTACTAATAGAATCAATAACAACGACTGAAACTGCAGCGTTAACTAGAACTAGTACTACAACTACTACTACTACTACTACGGCAACAACAACGACGACAACAACAATAGAAGCATAAGCACCAGCAAGATCAATAACAGCAATAACAACGGCAACTAATCTAAGGCAACGATGTTGATAACACTCTTAAATCTTGTTACTTGAACTGGTTTCCTTAGTCGACACTATGCGTAAGGAGGATACGAAGCGTTCTATCGAGTTACGAAGGAATGCTTTGACTACTACAGTAAGGAATCTCTGACTACCTTGGAATACTCTGATTATACATTAAAGGAGTGTGCTTTAGTTGTCACTGTTGCTGCTGCTCTTGGTGTTGTTACTGTTGTTGTTGTTGTAGCTGTTGCTGTTGTTATCACTAGAATCAATAACAACGAATGCAACTGCAGCGTTAACTAGAACTAGTACTACAACTACCACTATTACTACGGCAACAACAACGACAACCACAACAACAGAAGCATAAGCACCAGCAAGATCAATAACAGAAATAACAACGGCATCTAATCTAAGGCAACGATCTTGATAACGCTCTTAAATCTTGTTACTTGAACTGGTTTCTTTAGTCGACACTATGCGTAAGGAGGATACGAAGCGTTCTATCGAGTTACGAAGGAATGCTTTGTCTACTACAGTAAGGAATCTCTGACTACCTAGGAATACTCTGATTATACATTAAAGGAGTGTGCTTTAGTTGTCACTGTTGCTTCTGCTATTGGTGTTGTTACTGTTGTTGTTGTTGTAGCTGTTGCTGTTGTTATCACTATAGAATCAATAACAACGAATGCAACTGTAGCGTTAACTAGAACTAGTGCTACAACTACTAGTACTATTACGGAAACAACAACAACAGAAGTATAGGCACCAGCAAGATCAATAACAGCAATAACAACGGCATGTAATCTAAGGCAACGATTTAGATAACTCTTTTAAATCTTGTTACTTGAATTGGTTTCCTTAGTGGACAGTATGCGTAAGGAAGATACGAAGCGTTCTATCGAGTTAGGAAGGAATGCTTTGACTACTACAATAAGGAATCTCTGACTACATAGGAATACTCTAATTATAGATTAAAGGAGTGTGCTTTAGTTGTCATTGTTGCTGCTGCTGTTAGTGTTGTTACTGCTGTTGTTGTTGTAGCTGTTGCTGATGGTACCAATAGAATCAATAACAACGACTGCAACTGCAGCGTTAACTAGAACTAGTACTACAACTACTACGGCAACAACAACGACGATAACAACA